TTTCAGCACTGGTCAGGCATCTTAATTTTTAAATACACTGTATTATCTTTACGATTATTGTGTTTAATGGCTTCTGACAGCTTGCCTGCATTTTTCTGATTGTTTCCTGTAGTGGCTTAAAAAGGAATGTTTGTATTGTTGTGATGATCATTTTTAATCATTATTTGAACCTCAGATGTCGACATCTCCCTTTAACGCCTTTATTATTTAGAACCAGGCTTTTGTGGTGTTGTCAAAAGTGTTACTCTTCAAGGCCAAGTTGTTGGTGGTTGTTTGCCCTTTTTCTTAGCTTTAAACTCTCAGTCTCATCATTGTTGCCTCTGATGTAAAATGCAAATGCCAAACCTTGCTCTCTTTTGCTCAGTACATATATTTTCTTATGGCCCATGTTTAACTTTTTGCAAAACTTGTGCTACTTACTTTTCACATTTAAAGTGTTCCGTACATTTTGACCTCCCATATATTTTAAATGTATTTTCTCATTTCAGCTTCACTTTTGCTGTTCTCTAGGCTCCGTGACAAACTTACCCTTCCTTACCACTGTTTTGCGATCCACAGTTCTGCATAATTGATTCTGTTCGCTAACGTAATGGGATTAGCTAGATGAGAAATAATTTATTCCAACGTTAAAACTACTAATCCCGGCCAGAGTTCCTCGCATTCCTCAGTTTGGTTGTGTTAACTGGCGTGGACCTGGTGTGAAAGCAAAAGGCTTACTTTCCAACTACGATCGGTGTTATTAATGCTTATGAGCTAAGAATTCCCTCAGAAATCCTACCCACCCAAATCGGGATTTTCAGGGAGCTACTAAGGGGCTCTAGTAGATTACATCATGTGCAGAATGAATTATTCAGAAACTCTATGGATGGTGTTATTCAGTAATACATTTGTATTGTAATGTTTGAAAATGGAAGTATTTTTATGAAATTAGAATTTCAGAGTGGTGCCTGACTCTCACTGCTCTTGCCCACCTGAGTCTACTGCCAATTAGCGGTACACACGTTCCTGTTTCCCGCAGCTCAGGAGCCGCTAATGGACTCCTGTGGCAGCGTGCAGCAGCCTCTCACACACGTGGTACAGATGTGTCAGAACCACTTACGGCTTCGCTTACACACATGACAGAACCAGCAGACTTGAGAGGCTCAACCGCAAGTCCTAGTTTAAATCCTTCCTGGAAGAGTCCTGCTACACGTGCATGTGTCAGTAATGAAAAACAATCCACAGGAGCGTCTTTGAAAAGCAATTTTAGGTCATTAAAGATGCATGAATTTTGACAAAGCAAGAAGATTTGGGGCTTATTAAGAATATGTTGGCCCAAGCCGGTTTGGCTCAGTGGATAGAGCATCGGCCTGCAGACTGAAGGGTCCCGGGTTCGATTCTGGTCAAGGGCACATGCCTGGGTTGCAGGCTCGATCCCCAGTAGGGGGTGTGCAATAGGCAGCCGATCAATGATTCTCTCTCATCATTGATGTTTCTATCTCTCTCTCTCCCTCTCCCTTCCTCTCTGAAATCAATAAAGAAATATATTTTTTAAAAGAATATGCTGGATCTCTACATTGAGGGGAGAGAGGTATCCGTGCCTCTTCGAGAGAAAGGTGCGGGCTAGTTGTAACTTCGTGCGAGAGGCGGTGGACAGCGATGGAAAAGACAGCCTCCATCCGGCTGTTTCTGCGAAGCTTGTGTGAGAAACGGAGCCTGCTCCCTTGAGAAGAAACGGTCTTAGCACACCTCCCAATGGACCGTCCAGGTGGCACATTACTGCCCACCTGCCATGGAGTTGAGGCCACTGAGTAATCATTTTCTACACAACTTACCTTTTTGATGATAGATTACATCTGCTCCATTTGCTCAAGGATTCTCAACTTATTTTTATTTTCTGCTTATTGATTCACCATGATAGTTCAACAGTTTGTAAATATGCAAGCAACTGCAGAGAGAGAAGGTGCACGAAGCAGGACTTGTGTGGGTTTGTCTCAGGTGGGGAAGCTCAGAGCGCAGATACAGTCCCTCCCGGGCTGTGGTCTCCCCCCTCCCCCTGTGGAACCCTTATGCGACTACTCTGTTCAAAACAGACTTTTAAAACAAAGAAGTCTTTTCTCAAACCTCCCCCCCCCAAAAAAAAAAATTTAAGTTTGATTATTTGTAGATCTCATCGTTATAAATTTCCAAAATTCTCTAGCACTAAAGAATGGAGGCCACTTGTATCACTTCTCGGGGTGGGGGGCGCGTTCTGAGCGGCCTGGGAAGGAGGTGGTCGCTGACCTGAACATGCTGCTTTCAATGCTGGGTGTCCCCGCAGCCATGGCTGCGTTGGCTCACACACGAATCGGTTGCGTTTTGAGAAGCTCTGAGGTGCATCTGTCGTGTGATGTGAGTCTCGTGTCAGCCGCAGTGACTTGGTTTGCATGTAAATTCTGAAAATTTCCTTGTCCCATGTGACACTTCTGAATTGTCTATCTGTTCTTTTCTCCTTTTTAATTTCTCCAGCTCACTATTTGGATAAGATAGTCAAAGGTACTGTATGCTTGCTCTTTGTTCACGTTTCTCCATATCTATCTATAGAACCATGTATCCGATTGCACTAGCTATGAAAATAGGTTGGTTTTCATGCGTAGTTTTTTGTGAATTATGAGTGAGGCTTAATTATGTGAAATGCCTTGAATTTACAGTAGTGAGACTTAAATGTCTGTGTCTCATTTTTATAATTTTGGGTTATCACAGATTTCATTCCTGTGTGAAAGGCCTTCACCAGAATCCCAAAAAAAAAAAAGCAAAAATAAAATAAACTGAAGATAACAGTTTATTTGCTGTTTTCTGTTTAGTTATTATCTTTTGTTTCTATTTTAAGATCTCCATTTTTGGCAATTCAGCTAATGAGCTTTAAATTCTAAATTAAAGTTCGCAATGGCCCACTCTCTTATCGCAGAAAAAGAAATTGCCAATCTGAAGATGTTGGTTAACATATGTTGAGAGGAATCCCATTTATACTTACATGAAAACTTCTTTGGCTTTTTCTAAAGGTTTCAGGATACATGCGATATCATAATCTGCTTTGTTATTCCCTTAAAAGCTCTAAAATATCGTGCATTCTATAAAATAAAGAGTGCCACCGCTTGAGCAGAAAACAGCAGATTCTCGTGTCTTCAGTTATCGTAGAAATAGGTGAAAACCATTTTTCCCGAAGAGGAAATTCCCTTTCCCTTTCTCCTCAGATTCCCTATTCTCTAGTCCTTGTTCGTGCTTTTCATTAGAATATGAAAAGATTCATGGCAATGTCCAGGCTTTCATTTAATAACCCCTGTTACACCCAGTCAGTGCTGCACCTCAATCTTTCTTTCCCTTTTAAAAAAAAAAAAGCATCCATAAAGTTCACCTCTTAGGTATTGAATAGTCTAGAAATGCAGACAATAATTGTCTGAAAGAAAAGAAGCAGCAAAATTAATCTCATCCTGACCTGGTGGTATCCATAAGAGTGATTTTACCACACCCCGCCAGCCTGTCAGAATAGCTTTCTGTTAACGCTAATCTTAGGAGGCAGAAAGTCTCTTTGAGAGCCTTTCCAGTTTCACACTGGAGGAGGGGAAGCCACTATATGAATAATTTTTTAAACAGACTTAAACATCCTTAAACAGATCGTTCCCTCACACGTCCCCAAACCGAGAGTAGCATTCTCATTTTAAGAAACTGCACAACAAACTTGTTAGAATAAGTATTTTTTACGCAGACATATTTTATACCAATTTATAAATAATTCTGTCCAAAGAGATCCGATTTATCACCAGTTAATTCTCCCCGTTTCTGGGCATTTAGATCCTTGTTCCTGTCAGTGTCGTGTCAAACCCATAGATCAGAACCCAGGGCCTGCCTGGGCGTCATCCTCATGAGCAAATCACCGTGGCCGCATGCCAGATATCATCGTCAGGAAGTGGCAAAAATTGTTTTTCTTTTTTTTCTTTTTTTTTAATGTCATGTTAGACTGAAACGATGATAGCTTTTTGGATATATTAAATTATTTTAATCGTTTCCCAAATTTTCCCTCCTTGCCCATAAAAGCAGACAAGATAGGATATAAAGGTAACAGCATAAAAGCCTTAGGGAGATTGTCACCAGACATCACTCTCCGCGCTCTGTCTTGAAGCACGTCACTACCGTGTTTTTGTTCAGTCTATCGATGTTTTATTGTGGTCCTTATGGTATTTCATTTCGTCCGTCCTCAGTACTCGGATCTGCACAGCTACCACATTGAGTTGGAAATCCTGTCGGTCCTGTCCCATCCGTATGCAGCCTGAACCCTAATGTTTGTTAGAATAGACGCTGAGCTGCTCCGATTTCCCGGGCTTTGCTTCTCCTGTGACGAGGAATGTACTCTTGGCATAAAGTATAGTCACTGAGACTGGCCTATACTTTGTGCAGTTAACTGAACGCACTGTAATTTCACATGAATACACGGCAACTCTGGGGCCAGATACAATTAACGTTCTCGTGCCAGCATCGTGCAGCGCCTCCTCGTGCCCACTTCCAGGCTGCTGAATTGAGAGGGAATGTTTTAAAGCAACAAGGCGCTCTAAGGAGGCACATCCTAAGGAGTGACCGGTATCTGTTTACAACAGATTAAAAAAATCTATGCCGGGGAGCCCGAAATTGTCGTGCGGACATGCTGTTGCGCACCACGCAATCAACCCACCGGCCTTGTTGCTTGGCTAAAGGGGGAAGAAAAAGGAGGTTAATTCTGTCTGGCCTGCAGCTACTTAGCGGGTCATTGCATATATTTCGGTCCTGCCCAGGTAAGTGGTGTCTCAGGGTCAGGCCAATCAAAGATGCCACTTGGACGAGAATGAGATTCCGTGGACAAGGTTGCTGTTTCTATCCGTGTGCAATTACAGTCCCTGTGCTGTTGACAAAGGCCTGTTCCCACTCAGTGTCCCTTATCTGTGTGTCCGGGGTGCGGCAACTCTCCATTCTCAACTCCCGTGCCTTCTCCTTCTTCGTCTCTCTGACAGAGGGCTGCCCCGGGCTGTGCAACAGCAACGGCAGGTGCACGCTGGACCAGAACGGCTGGCACTGCGTCTGCCAGCCAGGCTGGCGAGGAGCGGGCTGCGACGTGGCCATGGAGACCCTCTGCACGGACAGCAAGGACAACGAAGGAGGTAGGGGACGCTGAGCCCGAGAGCGCGGGGGTGCGGGGCACGGGCTTATAAGGCACGGCGAGTGCATAGCTACCTGCCCCCCCCCCAGAAAATCAGATCCCCACAGATGAGATTGATTGAAAGATGTATGAGGGCTGCGTGATTCTGTTTCCTCTTCTCCCTGCGATGGTCACCGTCCGTCCGGGGAAAGGGCAGCCAGGCTGCTGTGCACCCTGCCGTTCACCACCCCTTTCCGAACCCCCGGTGACGGTCATCCGCGCCACAGTACTCGGGGCCCGGTGAACTGGGGCTCCGAGCAGTATTTTAATGACAACAGCCCGGGAGAGGCAGGTCTTTCCAGGCTCTTCTGTGGCAAAGAGACGTGGGTGACAGCGGGAAGCAGGCACAGGAAGCAGTCCCCTTGAAGCTGCACTCGCCGTCTTTTTACCCTGACCTGTCCTCCCTGTGGGAAGGGTCCTGCTGCACCGGGGAAGGGGGGTGAGAGAGGATCCATCTCCCTGCAGTGCTCACCCCCTTCCCCGTGCTGCTGGGCGAGTGTCAGAGACGGGGAGAGGGGAGACCTCCCCGTGGTACACACACCTACCCCTCCACCCCTCCCCACCCCCCCAGCTGCTGGGTGAGTGTCAGAGACCGGGAGAGGGGAGATCTCCCCGTGGTACACACACCTACCCCCCCACACCTCCCCACCCCCTGTGCTGCTGGGCGACGGGAGAGGGGAGACCTCCCCGTGGTACACACACTTACCCCCCAAATCCCTTCCCACCCCCTGTGCTGCTGGGCAAGTGTCAGAGATAGGGAGAGGGAGACCTCGCAGTTGTCCCCTCGTGACATGCCTAGCGAGGATGGGCCCCTGCGGTCCCTTGCTCTGTGGGTTGTGTGTGTCTCTCACGCCCTCCTTCACCCGCCTGCTCTCTGGGGACGCCCACGTGGACAGCCGAGGGTCCGTTACGTGGGCTGGTTTTGGAGTCAGATCTTCACTCCTGCCCGTAGCACCGATGTGGCCCTCCAGGAGCGCCTGGTCTCTGACCTTCAGCTGCTTCCCCTGTGGAACAGGAATAGCGGGTTGGAAGGAGTAAGTGAGGGGCTGTATGTACAGTGTGCAGCATATGGCCAGGCAGATAGTCTGTTGTGTGCAACAGCCATTGTTACCCAATTTCCCGTCTCTGGCTTTTGAAAGTACTCGTTTGACTGACTGCACTTCATGCAAGGTTTTCAGAGATTGAACAGCCTTCTCCTTGCTGCAGAGTGGACCTGCCTCCTGTTCTCTAGGAAGCAGAGTGGCCAGACCCAGCCCTCAACCTTTCCCATGGCCCCAGCAAACACGCACGTGCACACATTCACATATATGCACACATACACACTGCGCACACACACGCATGCACGCACGTGCATGTGCATGCATTGACACACGTGTACACAGATATGCTCAATGCACAGGCATGTGCGTGTGCACACATGGGCACACGCACGAACACACCCGGGCATGCACGCGCGCTGGCCTGGGCCACAGCCATTCTCAGACCCAATGTTACGGGGTCTCATCTTCCCGACAAGGAGCTGCAGTCCTCCCGTTAGTTTCGAGCGGACTAGTCACTGTTTCCCACAGGACCATCCTGCACTCAAGCCTCCTCCCTCCCTGCTCCAGGCAGGTGTAGGCGCTTAGCCCTCGCGGCTTTCCTGCTAACATCGCCCTGTCGCCCAGACCCCTCTTGACCACGCTTGGCAGCCCCTGTCCTCTGGAGCCACAGCCCAGATGGCAGCTTCCTCGTCCCTGTCCCCCAAGCTCCCGCCCCATCGTGTCCTGTCGCTGCTCTGCCTCCCTGAGCAGACACTTCAGTTCGTCTTCTAAGAGGGGATATCACTGAGTAGGTCACAGACTCTCAGAGGGAAGCCGGCGCGGCCCCTCCACAGAGACACGGAGGAGTCATTTGGGGCTAATCCGCTCTTCAGTATTGTCACCAGCTGAGGAGTCTTTCCCTTTCCTCAGAATTCATCAACGCGAAGGGGCCTCCTGGCCTTTGTTCATTCCTATCAGCATGGAACTGGGCGGTCTCTAGGCTCCCCCTCCCAGGGGAGATCTGAGCGGATGGAAGACCCCTGGGGTCCCTCTGCTTGTTTCAGATCATGTGTGTTTCTGTCCCAACCGAATTTCAAATATTTCCTTATTTTCACTTGGTAATCTCCAGACTTAGACCAACCCTACCATCCGCCATACTCATTCTGATGATTAGTTTTCATTCATTTTTGTGCTTCTCCTTTTTACTCCTAGGCACATTCCTACTTTTTCTTGCAGTTTGATCCTTTCATTTGTATTTTCTTGTAAGAAGGAATCCCAGGGCCACTCTTGAGATTGTAAACCGGGTGCCCAGAACCCTGAGCTGGAGGGTTTCTTCGAAGGAAAGCCTAGGCTGTGGGTACAGAGACGGTGGTCTCACCCCACCCCACCCCCCCACCCCCAGCAGGACACACAGTCTGGCCATGGCGGACGTCATCACACTCTGTGAGGACAGTAGGCGAGACTGCTCTGAAATGAGGACAGTGCCTGACATCCTAGGACACGCGGTAAACACCATTTGTAGAGCTGCGTTGCGGTGTTCAAACCGTGATCGCAGGTCTGGGATGGTACACCGGTCAGCTCTGCCTCATTCTGTGTTGGCTCCATTCTGACAGTCTCTCCCACCAGCTCTAGGCTTAAATCCACCTGCAGAACAATCCCAGTCCCAGGTCGACACCTTTCTCAGTGGTTCCATGAGGCCGGACCTGGGGCTGACTCTCATCAGTGTGAATTAGGTCACCTACCCAAAGGCGCATGGAAGTGTGGCACCAGAACGAAGGGTCTGCATGTATCCTGGGTGACGGAGACGCAGATGCTCCTGTGGGACATCCATTGCATTGCGTTTTGTATAACCGGACAGTGCGCTGGAATAACCATTCCGTGTGGCTGATAGGCTCCCATTACTCTCAGGAGGAATCGGCCTCTGTTCTCTATCCCCTTCCTGCCCCCCAAACAGCCTGCTCACCAGAGAACGAGGAAACCTGTGCTGAGCCCCTGGCTCGCTCTCCATGCCCCAGGTTGGCAAAGCAGCCACCCATCTCCCTTGTACCCAGAGTTGCTTGCACCCCGCCTACCCTCTAAGGCTCTCATCCAATAGGGAGTTTTGTGACTTGAAATAGCTCCCCATATGGTGGTCCCACTATGCAAGCTTCAAAATGCTACAGCTTGCCACAGGTGATTCTCTCTTTATAGAAACTTGACATACGTATTAATAGGAAGACTTCTCCAAAATACATTATCGCTGGAGTGGTTACCATGTTCCCGTCTTTCCTCTTGTTAGAGAGACCTGGTCAGAGGTCCCTTTGACATCTTGCTTCCCTGTCTGGGCCTCCAGGGGACAGCCCCCCTGTGGGTACCTGAGGCTACTCAAGCCCCCTCCTGGGTATTGGATGGTTGAGGGCACAACACTGACTTAAAGCCTCATAGTGAACGTGGTGTGAGCCTGGTGGAATGCCACTGTGTATACTGCTAGGAGTGGTTCATCTCACTTGGAAGTAGAGAGGGTTATGTTTTGTCCTTCGGGGATGCGTCAGGAAGATGTCCCTAAAACAGGCTTTTTATTAACGTATTTGGAGGTGGGCGATAGTACAGAAGAAAGCACAATTGAGTTGAGGTTACTCAGAAATTAGAAAGATAGGAACAGTAATGAGGGAGAGAGAGAGAAAGAAAATGCAAATGAAAGGATCAAACTGCAAGAAAACGTAGGAATGTGCCTAGGAGTAAAAGAGACAAGCAAAAAAATGAATGAAAACCAAGCATCAGAATGAGTATGGAGGCTGGTAGGGTTGGTCTACATCTGGAGATTACCAAGTGAAATAAGGAAATATTTGAAAATATATATTTTTTTAAAGTTCTAGCAGGAAGGTGATACTGCTGTGTTCTCCAAAAACATATTTAAAAGTAAAAAATAAATAAAATGAGAGTAACAGAACTGGAAAGAGAGAGGGAAAACAGTTAAAAGAACAAAAGGAAGAGAGAGACAAAATAACAAGGTATCGTGAGCACTTCCCAAAAAGGATCCAGATAACAGAACACAGAGGGGCACTCGGAGTCCAGAGCATGAACATCTATTCCTGGTAGAGATGGTTTGGGGAGGTCTGGGGGGTATTGGGTTACTACTGGGTCCTCCTTCAGGGGACAGAGCCAGGTTGGTCTGAGCCTTTGACTATCAACGGAATTTGGAGCATGGTCAGCCCCCTTCTAGGAAAGGGAAGTCCATGCTGGGCTCTCAGAAGCAGAGGACCCCAATAGCTTCCTGATCATTGACAAGGAACATGGGGGTTTTCACACTTTTTGAGTGAGCTTTAGAGGGAAGGAAACTCGGACCACGCAGGCTGGCACTGGAAGTCCCCCTTACATTTTGCACCCACTCCCGTTAGCTGCCGCCTCGAACTTCGAGGGTAGACATGGGCCTTGCGGAGTACCTCTTCAGAAGCGGGCCTCCTTGTCACACTTGGCTCACGGTGAGAGCCTTGCATTGGTGGGGAGGGTTGTCATTAATGGTCATGCACGGATACGACATTCTCATTGTCAACGATTTGACCACTGTCAGCAACTCAATGTGCATCTCTCTCTCCTCCTCCCTCAGTGAACTTACATGCGTAGCTATGTTTTTAAACTTGAATGGGATAGGTCCAGTTCTAAAGTGTATTCTGCCAAAGAGTATATCCAAGAGGTTTTTTTCATGCAATACCTGTAGGCGTATCTCATTCTTTTTAACAGAAATACGGGTACACTAGTTAATGTTACCACTACTACATTAGTAATAACTTAGTTGACCCTAGCCAGATAGCTCAGTTGATTGGAGCCGTTGTTCCATACACCCAAAGGTTGCAAGTTCAATTCATTGTCAGGGCACATACCTAGGTTGGGGCATATACGGGAGGCAACTGATCGATGTCTCTCTCTCTCTCTCTCTCTCTCTCTCTCTCTCTCTCTCTCTCTC